AAAGCCTAGCATACAGGCGAATATTAGAATGTTGGACAATATGTATTTTCACAGAATGACTGAGATCGTGTTTGTGATTTTATCTATTTCCTGGCAATTGTTTGTTCTTACCAGTAATGAGAAGTTTTCTCAGTGTTGCCTTTTGTTTTCTTCATAAATAGATAGCAGACAGAAGAAAAAGAATTCTGGCCCTTGTACGCCTCATGAAACGCTTGACAAGATTGTTCGATCGTCATATTGAGAATTGTAATTGTTATCGAATAATACGAGGATTGTTTATTACGAAATAATAATAGTAGTGGTAGTCAGTATAAACTGTACATCAAATTGCTATATACTATTATTGTGACGTTTTGTGAACTTATGCGATATTTAGAATGTTTTACTGGAATACTTCACGTAAAATGAGTAATAAGTTTGACTGTATAGAATATCTGTAATTTGGAACTATAATTAGAAATTTTATCATACCCCTTAATTTGCTTATTTGAATTTAATAGATTAATACTAAAACATTAAATAGTTTCATGATAATTTTTATTAAATATCAGTTTAATTGTACTAATTATTTAGAAATTCATAATTGTATACTAATTTAACCTAAATTATATCTTTTAATAATCAAATCATAGTTATAAATTTCATTTTAGTTTTTATTTTAATATACTTTATCAATTTATTACACTAAATTTATTTATTTGAATTTAATAAATTGATATCGAAATAATATTTATAAATTAACAGCAATTACAGGTTTAATTTTAGTTTTTATTTTAATATGATTTATCAGTTCATTTATTATTTATTTGAATTTACCATATTAATATAACATACGTTAAATGATTTTATGTCTTTAAATCGGTAGAATTTAAAAGAACGTATGAAATTTTGCAAATGAAGCTTTTTCATAAAATCAAATAAATCTTATAATATTTTTTTATAAATTTTGGCTTACTTTGTTAATAAATTCTAATCATCTGTATTAACTAAAACATATCCAACATTTCAATATACAATACAATGTTCATTTTTTGAAGTTTTCAAATTGTGTGGCTTTTTATTATTATTGCTATAACAATACTATTTACTATTTATCTATGTAATACAATATGAAATATTAAAGAAACGAATAATATATGTAAATGAATAATATAAAAATAAATAAAATAAAATATGTAAGAAATTTATTTCAAAATTCTTACTTTCAAAATTACAAAATAATTGATCGAAAAATTATGTTACGTTCCTTAATAGATTCTTTTTTTATTTACACTACTTAATAGATAGAATTTAACTACTAGGAAATTATTTTTATAATTTGAAATTATAAGATAAAAAGTAATTTACTACAAAATCCTTATCATGAATAGAACAATGATGGAAACAATTTTTGCGTTATTCCTACTATTCAATTGATAGAATTTAAATACAGACAAAATGAAACTAATATTTTCCAATAAATATAAATATTTAAAACAAAATGGGAATTAATTTGAATATTATACTTTCTACGAAATGATACAAATGATTAAGAACCGACAGTAATAAAAATCAAATGCTATAAAAAAAAGAGAAAATTGGAACATGTGAAACATTAACATGATACACGTATAAAAGTTTCACTGACAAAGATGACGCTCTGTGTACACACACACAATCGCGGTAATTCAACATGTACAAGTGTCTTGACTCGTAAAAGTGAAAGCGATGCAAACGAAGGAGAAAATATGATCGTGAAACTCGACCAATTGATCGCTATAAAAAGATAAATTGGGCTTTCTTACGTGTGATTCTGATAACATGGTTCAACTTTCATTATCTGAAATTTTATATCACGAAAGAACGCTAAATCTTTACGAGTAAACGTCATTACTCGAGTGAACGTACATAGTTATTTATGTAATTTCTTGATAGAAGTCAAATTCCGAAAATTGATACTCCAAACTCATGTCGATAAAATAAATTAATAACCTGAAATTTTGAGTAATAATTTCATGACTCTATAACAATGTATGTACTTAAAAGGAACATGTAATTCTTGATACTCGATAAAGCATGTTTCTTTATATGAGCATTGTGTATCTAGGAAATTATTCTGCAATTAATTTTAAAATGATCATAAAACTCGTAAGTCGAAATGAAACCACAGGTCACCTCTGACATTCTTTCTTTCAGCATACATACTTTTACGTTTGACTATAATATTATTTCATTTCTTGAATACAAATTTCGAAATAAAAATTATGCAACTCGAATATTTTCCAGTCGTTATATTTTGTTTAATTAAAAATTATATTAATAATTATTATTTATCGAATCATTATTTAAATACTTAATTAATTATAACTATTATATAATGTAATAATTATTAATAGGAAGATAGCAATTGGTATTTATGTAATTATTAATAAGAAAATAACAGTTATTGTTTATGTAATTATCAATTTAGTGGTAATTAATTATTAATAATCTGTTTAATAGTAATTATTAATAGTTAATTATTGATTATCAATTATATAATAATTACAATCTTTACATAATATAACATACCATAATAATAATTAGCTATTTATGTTCATATAAGATTATTTATTCTATCTATATTATTATATTGTTTTATGTGATTTACTATATTATTAGAATTGGTGGAACTATTTTATTACATACCATACATAAAATTATGAAATTTTTCCAACAAATATATTAAAATCATCACTTATTTCAAAATACGCTTTCAAATGTTGAAGTAGTATGTATACGTGTTTACGACGAACCTATCTAACTGATAATTAGACACGTCACGATCGATTTTTATTCAATAGCAATCCGAACTTCCTGCACAGAAATATTTATAATGTCTCAGGTGACCCTGACCAAACTAAGTACAATGCTATTAAATCATTCATGTAATCTAACACTCGGATGCACGTAACCACGTCATTCCGATACAATAGTTGTTATACATCAATTCGTTTCTTAGAGTGCATTACATTTCCTACTTATTTTTCCTCTTCGTTACGGAATAACAAAGACAAAATTACTGCAATAAAATGTCGCTTCAACACGTTCATGAGCATACACATAAATAAAATTGTATAGATTGAATTGTATACGTTGAATGAATAAATAAATTAACACACAAAGGAAAAAATATATTTACTCCAATAGAATGCTGAATATCAAAGTAAATTTAATATAGTCTTTATTGTATTATAATTAAACATTCTATGGTTGTCTAAAATATTGTCGAATCTCTTAACATTTACATATCGAAGAAGTATCGGTATAAAAATATTTTTGAAAATAGCAACGGACTACAACCATAAAATGTAACAGATATAAATATTATATCGATGAAATATCCAAAATTACAAACAATTTTACGTTTGTAATATTTAGAAGTTCATAATAAACTAAAAAAAACAACATATACAATTACATATTAATTAGTTTTAACAAATTTTCTAGAATATTAATACACACATATTCATTTATTTATTTGATTTCTAAATGATCAGCAATATAATAATATATATAATAATAAAAAGTAAATTATAAAATATGGATAATTTAAAAAATCTAAAATGTCATTAATTTTATAGACACAGTAACAAATGAGACAATAATATGCATAATAAGATATAGTTTATAAAAGATATATAATTTACAAAGGTTTAAAATGTCACCAAGAGTCAGTGTACATGACAATAACATGACAAAATATACGTTATAAAATATGTATAATTTAGAAAAATCGAAAATATTGGTAATTTTGTAGAGACAGTGACAAAACAGTCAAAATCGCCATATTGGTATTCAGAATGATAAATGTACTTCTTTATTTTCTACCAGCTGCAGAATATGAGAAATTAGCTATTATCCTTAAATAGAAAATGAGGTGAAGATGACTTTGTGCGGGAAAAACAGCGGCAGTTCCTTGAAAAAGTAGGGGAACGATCGTAAAGGAAAGAGT